TGCAACTGGTTAGAACACAGCGTGTAACATATTGCTTTTGGTGCGTCTTGATCCAAACAAAGAGAAAATCCACATTTGAGGGCCATGAAAGTTATATGAAACAGTATTTCTGATCTTAACATTGGGTCTCTTAATGGCGGCTTTATTGTTTCGAACAACATTTTAGCACTGTTTCAAAGCACACAGCATTTTATGCAAGCGGCACATTTCTAAACAGTCTTTAATAAACACGTTAATGACAGAGCAAGCCTCCAGCTGTACAAGAGACTTAGTTATTTCTCCAGGCATCAGACATCTTACTTATTCCACAGTCATTAAGAGCTGTGCTTCAGGATATAGCAGAGCTAGTGTAATTACACAGGTACTGTGATGAGGAAGTTAGCAGTGGTATTCATCGTCTTAATTAAGGCATAAACTCTCTGCTCTCAGCTAAAAGCAGCTCTGTTGGTTTAGGCAGCACACAGGCTTTGTAGCATGTCAGTGTCATCCAGCACATCCTTTCAAGGTTGTAGTTTGCATTTGCATGTGGAAAGTCAACCACAGAGAAAGACTGCGATAAGTAAAGACGACCGAACGGAGAGTCAGCACCAGACCAACCTTCGCTTTCACTTCCTCTTCAGAGCCTGTGGCGTTTTTCAGGTGCCGCGCATGCAAGGGTCTATGCGATTTGTCTAATTTGCAAGCTTCGCACCTGTTGCCCCGTCACCGCCTGCAGTCCCGAGCCCTCGACAAGCCGCCAAGCACCCCCAGATAATCCATTCTACCCCCATAACACGGATGCTCTCCCTGGTCCGTGCAGGACAAGGGCATTTTTCTCCGGTGGAGCGCTCATATCCGCCATGCCGCTGATGGCTCATTACAGGCCAATTCATAAATATTGTCTCCAGTATTACCACTTCCAGGGCTCTCTCAGCTCCCCGGAGATTTATTCTTCTCTTTTACACCATGCTATTGTTTTCCTCACGCTTTCTGTTTTTCATACCCCACCCTCGTTGTACCTCTCACGGTTTGAAGCACCCGAGCCACATCTCTTGCCGCATGAAGACGACGGCGGCGGCGGGTATTTGTTCCATTTAGAGTTGAAACAGGGCCAGAGGAACATCAAGTGACAGCAGCCACACAGCAGGGCGAAATGCAATCCTGCTCGATTGAACAATCATATAAGTGATGACAAAGTGCTTTATGACTATGCGGCTTTGTTGCACTTGGGTTTAGCCCACTAAGGTCTTATGCAGGCGGTCTCATGCGACCTTGGTCCATTTTCACCTCAACTCCAGCTCCCAGAAGTGCTTTTATACCAGGATACCACATTCAGCTGGAATACGTTTTACCCTATATAACACAAAGAGAGATTTTCTCACATTTACAGATGTTCTGTGAATTTTCACAAGCGAAATCCACAATCAATAGGAATCTACGTAATTAGGAATTTTACGTGAAAAATCGGGGGGTAGGCACATTATTTTACAGTTTCTGTTACACGTTACATGTACTTGCTATAGTAATAACAGTAAATTATGCATAATTAAAGGGATAGTTCCCCCAAAAATGAAAATTCTGTCAGTATTTCCTCACCCTCATGTTGTTCCAAAACTTTATATATTTATTTGTTCTGCTATACACAAAGGAAGATATTTGGAAGAATGTTTTAATCAAACAGATCTCATTCCCCAAAATACATACTATGGTAGTCAATGGGGAATGAGATCTGTTTGATTAAAACATTCTTCCAAATATCTTCCTTTGTGTTCCGCAGAACAAATAAACACATAGAGGTTTGGAACAACATGAGGGTGAGTAAATACTGACAGAATGATGGATGAACTAACCCTTTAACTAACCCTAATCCTAACCCTATCCCTTTTAGTAAGTACATGTCGTTAAATAATAATACTAATTACACTGCAACAACAAATTAAGCGTAACATTTTTTGTTTCACACATTGTTACACTGTTGACAAGACACCGAGCCCTTTTTTCCCCATGATATTTTGCTATGATATAAGGCAAAAACAGACTTATTGGCCACTTATTGGTACTGCCATTGTTGTTGGTGTTTTTTTTTGTTGCCAAATTACCCTTGTTGCTTTAAGTACAGGCAATGGGAATTCCAAATATTTGTGCCCAAGTACTTGCAGGACCATGATGGAAACCAAACTCTTGTTTGGCAGATTTAAGCACATCATAGCATGTCGCCGACTTCCAGCAGCATCGAGCGTGAGCATCCTGTAGTGTGTGATACCATCTGTCCATCAGTGGATTCCCTTTTAGTATAGGATACCCAGTGGTGTTCCAGAGGTCTGGACCCACATTAGCACAACATCAAACAGGCTCCCTCCTACATATGCAGCACTGCGTGCTCTCCTGCTTATCTTATCTGAGACGGAAGGAGGAAGTCACCCCTCCGGTCCATCCCTGTAGAATTTGGCTTGACCTTTCTCATGCAAAGCTGAGAGAACTTGGAGGTTTTCTGCCCTGGCGACTGGGATTGTGTCCAGGGATATGCTTTAATGGGACACCTGCTGTGCTATTGTTAAAAATAAAGATAGGTATGACTGGCATAGCCTAGTATCTTAAATTCTTTAATAGGCGTTTTAATTCCACTTTGACAGCAGTGTATGACAGCAGTTTATGGGGTTAAAAGTGTTTCTTTAGTTTTATTTGTAGCACATGTACAACATTTTTTTTTCATAAACAGTATATATATATATATATATATATATATATATATATATATATATAGGGCTGTCAGTTAAACGCGTTATTAGCAGCGTTAACGCAAAGCCATTTTAACGGCGTCAATTTTTTTATCGCGCAATTAAGCAAACTTTGTAGGTTTTTTTTCATATGCTTTTGCAACAGGACGCGGCATACGCGACGCTGCGCTATCAAACCCATTCATTTCAATGGCTTGTGCCGCACAAGTAGGACGTTTTGTTGCTTCGTCGACCAAAGCGCAAGCGGATCTAGCTTGACTGGAAACAAAACAACAGGCACGACGGCGCACACACTTGTTTGGGCTTGCTAGCCGGCCAAATAGTTGGTTAAAGGGATAGTTCACTTTGAAATTAATTTTTGATATGTTTTAGCTTACCTCAGGGGCATCCAAGATGTAGGTGTCTTTGTTTCCGCAGTATTTTCAATTTTGATATTTTTCGGTCAAACCGGTGTTGTCTATCAGTCATATAATGCAGGTTTAGGGGGTCCACCCTGCCTTCACCTTAAAGAGCATGCACAAAGTCAAAATTAAACATGATTTAATGACTTGTAAATGTAAGTACACATTGATTAACAAAAATGTGTTACGGAGCAAAAAAAAAATTAAGCTTCTGCAAGCAGCTTGCGAGTTCCCTGACCTGATGAGTGGAGTGAAGTTAGAAGAGAAGAAGCGTCAACATGGATCTGGAAATCTGAAGGATCTGGAGAGATTCTATATGGAGGAATGGTCTCTGATCTCTTGTCAGGTGTTCTCCAAACTCATCAGGCATTATAGGAGAAAACTCAGATGTTATCTTGGAGGTTGCAAAAAAACTATTAAATAAAAGGTTGCCACTTAAATTGGTCATAAATTGTGGCCAATGTGTATTGGAGAAAAATCTTTATGTCATAAAGAGACCATTTAAATTAAAGGTCATTAAAGTGGTGTTGAAATTGGTTTATTTTCTTTTTTTTTTTTTTCTTCAAATGTCTCTTTAAGCCACAGATGGCACCAGATATTTCAGATTGGTACTTGTGGTCCCTATTGCAATTCCTCCATGAGCACCCTGGGCTGTGAGCGCAGGCTGTGTGCAGTGAACCTCCTGGGGCAGGAAGGGCTAACAACCCTTGCATTGATCCAAGGAGACACTCAGCCCTCTAACCTGCTGAGTGCTCAGTTCAGGAGAACAATGGAGTTCAGCACACATCAATACAGCACCAGCCTATTCAGCGCACAGGACTTTTAGTAAAGTCCAATGATGAGGTTGAAGCTCCTGAGTCTCTGCAGTAGCAGGGCAGACACCTTCAACATCTGTATAAACCCCTTTCTTCCCTTCATCACGGAAAGATATACAGACACCAGCCTCCCTGTGGTCCCTACTCCAGCTTTCTAACATCTTACCCTGTTACTAATAGTCATGTTGTGGCAAAATGAGTCTCACCTACCAGTCTAAAGAGTTGGAGATTGGGATGGAGGAGGCTTTCTAGGCAGGAATGCACTACTTGTCCCATAAGACACTAAATGATGTACAAGTGCATTTATTACAGCAGCCCCTATAAATCTGAGCCTGGCCTGAACTCCGGGGAGAGGTTAATGGATTACAAAGGGATGCGGTATCGAACCTTTGAGAAGTTTATACACCACATCAATATGTGCAAGGCTATTGATCATTTAGACCTTGACAGACAAATTAAATTCATAAACTTGATAATGCACTGGAATATTTGTATTGCTTAGTACAGTGGAATAGGGCCCTTTTTTACATTTTTTTTTTTAATACAGTGCTGCTTTAAGATAAAGGTTTATTGACTGAAATTCACTTAATAGAGTCCACTGAAACCGCCAAGAGGAATGCTGAAATAATGTGAAATTTAGAGTAAGATGAAGTCCTTAGCTAATACTGCACAAACTTTATCCAAATTTTCTTTTAGGTTGCTGAACATCTCATTACTTATGCAAATTATATCTAAAATATGTAGATCATTTACTTTTAATAATGTTATGTAAATTTAAATGCATAATTGAAATTGTATTAATTTATTTTTTATGGGCTTTTTGCCAGGAAGGCACCTGTTCCAACACAGGCAAAAAGCCAACAAACAAACAAATGTATTATATATGAATCACTTACATTAATTAATATTTCGTTAATGGATACTATATAGCAGTTTCACTGCCTTTCTTATATTTACAGTAAACACTTTTACGTTGTCTTTTTTGTCACAATGAAACCATGATACCAAAGTTACATTGTTACATTTATTCCTATTTAAATTAAAAATCAACAGTAGAAACAAAGATATTTGTGTTAAATCAAATTTATTACAATTATGTACATTCGTCTTTTCATACCAGAATTTCTCTATGACAAATACCAGCAGGGTGTCAACAACATCAACATTGAGCAACGCTGTGCATTTCAGACAAACTGTTAAAGACCTTTGAATTATGCTTACTTATAAAACCAATCTCACACGCACGCACGCACACACACACACATGCTTAAATCCCTAATCTGAATTGCTGAAACTGAGCAGCATGAGTAAGACTCCTAACAAAATGATCGTAAAAACACAGTTGGAGATGAGAATGTCATCTTAAAGGAGATACAGGCACTGAATCTGTGTCTTATTTCATGATTAATTCAATAGCCCTCACAGAGGCTTTACAATGATTAGCTAAAATTAGCAAACTATGTTGTTTGAAGGCCTCGGCCACCACGCTACCAGAAACAACCTGCCAGTTGCAGGAACTCCTGAATGTGGGTTTAAGCAAAACTAGAACATGCACACACACTCACACACTCACACTAAAGCTCTGTCTCATTCTGAAGCCTATGGTCTTCCTTCCTCTCACTTAAATAGCCAACTATCTTTGCAACGCCACTTCTGACACCAATCCAATACAATTAACGTTCTAGATCGAATGGACTTCTCTGATTCTATTAAAGAATAGTTCACCCAAAACATAAAACTTATTTTCATTCTCATGCCATTCCAAACAGCCTTTCTTCTGTGGGACAAAAACAATTTTGAAGAGTCTTCAGGTTTTTCTAGTGTTAAGTGACAGTTCATGCATTGTGACCACAGATGTTAAGCTCCAATATAAGATGCAGAACTGAATGATTCGTTCACAAATCTGATTAACTCAAGAAGAACCGCTCTGGCCATATCCAGTTGAACACAAGAACGTGATCCGTGCGTTTAAAAACCATTCATGAATCGGACTGATCTGGTTCTCAAGTTCAACTCACTGACTCAGATCAACTTCAGAATCAATAAGACCTCATTATTGGAGTTTAACAACAGACAACTGTTAAATTACAAAATTGAACCGTGGTTGTATGCAAAACAGCAGTGTGATCATTCTTCAAAATATATCCTTTAGCCTTCCACAGAAAGATAAGAAATAAAAACAGCATAAAGGTTTGAAATGACATAAGTAAATGACAAATTTTTGTATTTGTATTTTTTGGTTATTTTGACTGAACCATACCTCTAACGTTCAATTGACATTTGGATTTTTAGCTTTTCAAATCAACGCCCAATTTTTTCAAGAAAAAAAAAAGTCACTGCATATCAAACGAACATAGCGGGTTTCTCTTGACACTGCATCATATGCTATTCTTGTGCGGGTTAGTGTTAAGTCAGCCCTAGTCTAGGAAGTAAGAAAACATACACACGGCCAGACAGGTTGAGCACTTTCATTGTGCCTTCGCATTGTGCCGCCACAGACCCACAATTCACCTGGCTGCGCTGTAATCCGGTAACTCTGAAGGTCATTTGTTAAAAGTGAAAATGTCACAATGGATCTGAGGCTCTTGTTCTCACTCCAGGATCTCTCTGGCTTTGTTTCTCATCAGCTGGTGAGTGAGTAATTTCATTAGTTAAATATTCATACGTTACTCTCCATTTGCATCACTGGGGAATTTTTTTTTGTCTTTTTTTTTCTATCCTCTCATGACTTTCTGAGAGAAAAGCCCCCAAAGAGAAAAGCACAACTGTCAGCACCTCCGCTGAAGCATCCATTGTTTTACACAGTTTAATTACAAAACCCCAGCACCGTTTCATGTTAAGATTATTCACTGCAGGAGGCCTATATAATTTGGACTGGAGGGTTTGTCATGTAATATAATACAATATAACAGGCTTTCAGTATTAGATTTCCGATTTTAGCCTCCTTGACATTTCAAGCCGCATGAACTAATACATCTGTTATTTGTCGATCATTTGATTATTAACATACTTCATAAACCAAATCAGCTACCCTGCTGGAGACTGGAGAGATACGACCGAGACAAACACATTTCTCTTTCGTCTCATTTTCTGTGTTCTCAAACATGTTATCCCTCCCTCTTTCTTTCTTCCACACAAATCTCAAATCCGCCAGCACTCTGATCACAAAATACAAGGCATCGTTGTTACACAGACTGCCCCACAATCTCAAACGTTTGAAGGGGAGTTGGTTGACTACGTTGGTTGACTAAAAGGTCTATAAAGAATAAGCGGATCCAACAGTGATGGGACTCAGTGAACAAGTCTTCACTGCTGAACATACAAATCCAACGGCCTCAGATCACAAGAAAGCCAACTTTCTGATTCTTTGGTACCTCTAATTGGTTGCATTAGTCCCTACACTGCAATTGTTCACGTTTGTATCGGCTTGAAGGGCTATGGTACAAACAGGCTTTTTTTGGAGCATGACAGTCTCTATTAAAATAAGTAGCTAGGACTGGCTGGCTGCAAAAGAAAAGTCATAATTCTCCCGTTGTCTATCCAAAAATGTCTGTTGCTGTGCTTGTTCAGGCATGCAGGAGGTTTGTGCCGACAGTCTGGATTGCACGTTGAAAGTTTGCATGTTGAAAAGTCAAAAGGGTAAAGAACTGCAGTGAAAGGAACATAATCCAGCTCAGCTGCCGCTCTGATACAGTGTTAAATGATGCTCACGGTAGCCATTTTACAGCAAAGAGGGTGTGATATCTGGACTTCAATTAACTCTCAGGAAATCTGGGAAAAGGTGATTGGACGGATCAAGTTTGGTTGGGGGTTACTCTCTAATCAACCTCGCTCTCGTTACTCGCCCCCTCTGGACGCCGCAGTTTCTCCACCTGTTCGTTTATCTGTCCGTCGCCTCCTCTCCTGTCCTCGGTCTGCACGCTCAGGGGGTCTTCCTCATCGGCATGGATCACATCGTCATCCTCGTCTTCTTCGTCCTCGTCCTCTTTCTTTTCCTCCTCCCCCTGAACTTCCATACGGACCTGGTCTTTCAGGTCCAGAGGGAGAATCGCGCCCAGGCCCACGTCTCCGTTCAGGCAGTGTGAGCCAGACGGGGTGGCCAGGGAGCTGTTGCCCTCTTTGACTGGGGACGAGTTGGCCGATTCGTTGCTGACAGGCGAGATGTCGCTGCTGCTGTTGGTGTGGTTGACTGAGGGAGGGTTGGACAGTGACGCTGGTTTGAGAGGGATTTGCCAGGATGGGATTTTGGGAACGGAAGGTGAAGCCGGGAACTGTCTCCTGAGAAGAAAGAGGACGTGAATAGAAAATTACAAGCATTTTCTTTGAACTGTTGGCTGAAATCTCTCTCAACAGAGTGCAGATTGTGCCTCAGGCTTGATTCTGACTAAAATATGCACGAGTGAGTCCAGCTATTGTGCTTTGGAAACACGAGCGAATTTGTCAGTATGGTAGCGCATGAGAGATTATGTCCATATGCACGGCACACCTGGCATCTGATTCAAAACAAAGCATGTCTTCACAACAAAAGTAAAATAAATTCAAAAGCGACTTCAGATATGTTCTGTCAATGTGGTTCTGTTTGAATATGAGGCAACAAGTTGAGCAGATGGTGTGCTTGGGTTGTATTTACAGCGAAGATCTCACATCTTGAGAAGGACAACCAGATAAAACATTCAGACACTGGAAGAAAAAGGTAATTGCAGCATAAAATGTTTAATGAGAGTGAAACAACAGACAGAATGAAAGCTTTTATCTGTGTGAATTTCAGATGTATGAGATTACTTGGATCTTAATTTGCATGATACATACATAATCAAGTAAACATTAATGAAAGTGAGGGAAGATCCATCTTGGGGCATTGAGGGAACCTGTTGGATGCATCAGGCCTCATTAACCAGTAATGAGCCGGTTCCAGCTACATGCCCCGGTGAGGAGAACGATATGACACATACAGATCAAACCATCTCAGACACATTTATCTGCCGAAACGTACCAAGGAATACAAATATCAGCTGCCCTGAGTGAGAAACAACACTCTCCCACTCATTTACATATTGATAATGCAAAACTTGCACGTTGGAAGACCTACTAGAGGCCTCTTTCAGGCTATTTTGAGCACTCTATAAAGATATTTGGCTGGACAGCAGACCTTAAGAGTAGCTGTCACAATCCATCTCATTTTCTGGTTTGTGGAAACATTTTTAATGCTGCATCAGCTTTAGGATTGACATTCACATACACAACATTTTGAATTAAAGTCCCTCAGTCTCATTATGGCTCAAATATGGTGTCTATTATGGCTAAGGTCTGTTGTTATTGTCTACTGTTATAGCTGATTAATCATTGAAAACAGTTACCTGCTGAGAAGAAGACCCTTAAGAGACACAATTTCAGTCTTGAGTTCACTGATGCTCTGAGACTCCAGCATGCGGTTGGTGGCAGATGAGGCCTGAAGAGACAAAATTACAACAAAAAAAATGATGATCATTATAATGTTTGTCATCATCAAACACTTGAAACCAAGGATTATTATTAACCCTCTTACACATAATCCTGATAAATGCTACCTAACCCAGGGTTAAAAAAAAAAAAAGAACTTTCCAACTGTTTAAAAACATGTTAACCGTCTACTCTCTTTAAAGGTAAAGAGCTGTCCTAGAATCTTAAAAAAATCTGTCATATCTGGACTTTTTTTTTTTTTTTTTACCAAAACTTGACATTAGTATGCAGCATGTGCAAAAACTTCAAAAATGTCATTGATCTTTTAAAGTCCGACTTTTTCAAATTGTATTTTTCAGTCACTCAATGAACAAAATAATCTGATGCATTCAAACTGCCAATGAGAGACAATGAATGTCCTCAAATTCATGATATCAAACCACAACTATACTGTCGAGTCCCAACTACTGTATCTTCTCCACCCGTAAGGTCAGGATCTTTCAGAAAAAGGCTAAGGGTATTAATCATGCCATTTTTACATATTTTTCCATATTGCAGACTGCTGATTTGAGCAGGACAGAGGTGTTTGATAAGAGGTCTCTGGCACAACAATGGAAGTATTCATCAAGTCAGAGAGGTTTTTATTAAAAGAAGCCTTATCTCTAACTGCTTGCCATGGGATGAATTGCTGAAGGGAGTGATGGCCAATTGAAGTGGACAGCAAACATTTGAATAGCAAATTAATTCAAGGGAAAAAAGGGCCTAAAAAATCCATCCATCATTTTTTTTCTCTCCAAATAGACAGGCGGTTGGTAATGTCAATTTATGAAAGGAAACCCACTTCAAGAGAGAAAAAAGGGAGATTTTCAGTACCTGTACATTTCTATTTCAATTCTCCAAACGTTCTGACAGATTAGCCCAGGCTCTCGAGCAAACCCCGTTGCTGTACGCCTACATGGAGCCACTGACTCCTTGAACCGTCCACAAGCAAACAATCTAGCCCATAATCCCATTCCCGTTCTTCTGCCCGCCGAGGGGGGAGGGGCGAAGGAAAGAAGGAAGAGGAAGTGGAAAAAAGGACTAGGGGGAAAAGGAAAATAAAAGTGTAATTAAGAATGTCGGAGTCACTGGGGGCGGCTAGTTAGAAAGCAGAGACCCCCTATCGAGAGGAGAGGGATAACTCGGACTCTTCCACATGTAATTAAATCTAAAGTAAATTAATTGAATCACATCTGAAAAGGATCAGACTCATTTACAGCGAGGGCTGGGGAGGGACGGCGTCTCCTTTCTGCTCCTAAAGCCCTCAGATAAGTGTGGCATTTTCGAAGAGGCCACATCTGATCCGAGCCGTGCGCATTAGGCCTGGTGAAGACACTCTTATTACAGGCCTCACCTCATTATGGCCATCTTAATCCCACACTCCCCACGGCATCCGGTATAATAAGGCTGGAATGTACCTCTTGCTCATTTTACCTTTGTAACGGGGAAAAAAAATTAATTGCTTCGGAGGCTTAGCTTACACTTCTCGGACATAAAATCTAAATAATATTTTAACAGAGGCTACAAAGCACCTCTCAGCCGGCGGTGTTTAAACTTCCACGGTCGCAATTCTTCATTTCGAGAGCCGAACACACGCGCACACACATTTAGTGAGGACCGTTTAATTGCTGCTAAAGGCCTTTCTCTGCATGTCTTTGACTGTGTGAGCAGCCATCCAGTCAGAGGGGTCAGTGCAGTGTGATCGGGGTCCGTCACCCTCTTAAGTGTGAACAAAGCTTCACCACAGTCTGGGTAATTATTTAAGGAGGTAGAGCGTACCTTACAAGAGAGGTATATGCACGTACTTACACCACAGCAGCAGCCAGACAAGGAATACATTAAAGCAAATGTCTGCAGAACATTAACAACGGATAATATCTTAAGTCGAGTTAAGAAATGTCTGAATGCAAATTAATTCACTGCTTCCTTCACTGATGCTATTTCCACCACCTAATGGATGTATATTTATGGCTGAATCGGCTCGAAAATAAATCCCAAGGGAGTTATTTCTGGTGAAAACACTGGTACAATTTATTTGAGCTTGTTTATTCACTCCTAGTGGCAGGGCCTTCCACAGTGGAAGAAGAGAAAAAAATGTAAGAGCTTCTAATCTTCCATGAGCAGCCACTATAAAGACAGCTATCATTGGATTCAAACGTCACAGCAATTTAACTTAAAGGAGTAGTTCACTTTTTAAAAAAAATTGCTGATAATTTACTCACCCCCATGTCATCCAAGATGTCCATGTCTTTCTTTCTTCAGTCGAAAAAGAAATTAAGGTTTTTGATGAAAACATTCCAGGATTTTCACCATATAAATGGACTTCATTGGGCACCAAACGGCTTTAAACGACACCAGATGATGAATAAGGGTCTTGTCTAGTGAAACGATCAGTCATTTAAAAAAGAAATAAAAAAGTTTAAGTTTTAGAAGCACAAATGCTCGCCTTGCTCTGTTCTGTGATGCGCGTTCGTGACTCTCCTGTTCGAACTCGTTCATCAAAATGAACAAATCTTTTTTCGAGTCATTTGATTCGATCCGTTCATTTAAGAACCAAATGACTCGAAAAAAGATTCGTTCATTTTGATGAACAAGAGAGTCACGTTCACACATCAAAGAACAGAGCAAGGCGAGCATTTGTGCTTATAAAACTTTTACAAAAAAATTATTTTTTAAATGAGCGATCGTTTCACTAGATAAGACCCGTATTCATCGTCTGGTGTCATTTAAAGCCCTGTGAAGCTGCACTGAAACTCTCATTTGGACCTTGAACCGTTTAGTTCCCAGTAAAGTGCATTATATGGAGAAAATCCTGGAATGTTTTTATCAAAAAACCTTAATTTCTTTTTGACTGAAGAAAGGAAGACTTGGACATCTTGGATGACATGGGGGTGAGTAAATTATCAGCAAAAGTTTTTTTTTTTTTTTTTTTTTAAGTGAACTACTCCTTTAAATAGTCATGATGACAATGGTTTATAAATTTGGAGACAACCATTTCCATTTGGAGTGAATTATTCCTTTTAAAATTATGCAATAAAAATAAACAAAATAAAAAACATATACAACAATTGAAAAAAGTAAAGTCATTTCTAGCACCTGATAAAGTACTCTAGTAAAGTTTTTTGAGCAGTACAAAGACAATGCAATAAAACCACTTCTTTAGAAGTTCCAACTGACCTTCTTTATCAGTTAACGACTTTATCAATCAGCATTTGAATAACAGTTTCAGGTGTGCATAATGACATTTTAACACAGAGTATGTAGCTAATCTACTGAGATGAAAAAGAAAATGAGCATAAACATGAGGATAAACTCGAGTATGAGCACTAACTCATCCAGAGAAAAAGGCCAACTGTGCTCACAAAACAGAACATACTTCATTTGTGTGGTTTTAAAAAATATATACATATAAAAAAATGTTTACTTAGCAGCTGAGGAAACAGGAGTCACCATGTGTTTCGGGTTAAATACACATTAAAGAGTTTAATTGCCAAGCTTGGCGCATTCTGCACGAGTGAAGAACCCTGAAAAGGCAACTCAGGAAACCGCACACTGAAAACGATACACAGCCAAAAGACTTAACACGTGTGCTTAATTTCGTGCTCCGGACCTGAAAATAATTTCCCCAATTTCCCATATGGCTTTAGACAACATCTCTCAAAACAAAATTTAAGATCAGCATGGAGTAGACTTCATAATTTGTTTAATGGGCTTTTTGATGTGACGTATACTTTATACACACTGCAGCTTTCCAGCAAGGCACTCATAACAAATGAAGCTTTTTAATTCAATCTGGAATTTGACAGAGAATTTCAGCCATTTCTACTTGACTTAGAACTGCTGTTGCAGATGATGACTGGAAGTGTGTTGAACAATAGATCAATGTTGTGGCATTTTTTCTGGAACTAGCAGAAGCACATCTGAGGTGAACCATAGAGGATTTTTTTTTTTGTTCAAGTCAGTTTATGGATGGTGAACTTCAAGAGCGCGACGGAAGTAGGTTGGGGAAGGGGGATGTGAGAGTAGTGGTGAGTCTGCAATTCTAGCAAACTTCAGAAGGGTGAGAGATTCATATTTTCACTTCAATTTGTGCCAGGCCAGATGTGTTTGCATATGCTTTCCTACGGGATCCAGATGCTTCAGTAAAACACCCATGTGCTTAACAAGCTGTGGACATAAAACATGCCCTTGATTGCGATTCCAAAGCACTTTTTGGAGCCTGTAACAAGATGATTCATCACAGTATCGCAAGATACAAACTGTATCTTAAGAGTTCCACATTCTGGCAATGTTTTCAGCAGGCGATTTTCCTTAGAAGACTATTCATTATAGATTTAAGCACATGTCTTAAGATAGGATTTGAAAGCCGTATCATCATGAAGAGCATTCTTCTGAAATGACACCATAATGCATTAAATTTTAACGTATTAAATGCATCAATGTTAAACCTCAACATTATTATGTAATGCAATACTTTTTAGACAAAGTAATCTAATTACACAGTTGAAGTACCTAATTGTAATCAGTAGCTTTTTTAGAGTAACTTACCCAACACTGTTTATCAACAATACACAAAAAACTAACTCAAACTCAAAAGTTGCGGCTCAAAGAAAATCGTACTGGTCCAGTTTTAGTAGCAAGTATGGGTGGGGGTTTAATTGAGGTCTCAGCCCAGATGAAATTAGCAGAAGGGAAATGACAGATTGAGGAGAGATCAGGAGGGGTTGGCAGCGTGGGTTCACTTCCTGTCCCTGGATGACTTGCTTGAGCGGTCTGGAGATGGCCGTACATGTTCTTTATGGAGCTCCCATGACATGGCTTGTCCTGCTGATGCACATTTTTCTCTTCTGAACGGCATATGAGCTCTGTCACAACTAATATTCACATCAGGGTTAGGCATCAGTCTCAATGTCACTGAAAAATGCCCCGTGTTGTTTTAAACTTGAAATGGCCTTGTTTTATAGATGCTGCGCCCATGAAACTGAACGCCGCAGTGAAATTGCACACTGACATCTTTATTTAAACACAGCAGATCAACAAAACAAGTGTCTACTATCATTCATATTATATCTGGGAGAAATCACAAAACTGGGGAGGAATGCAACTGTTTTAGATTTCTTTTATTAAAGGACAACTCCGGCGCAAAATGAACCTTTGGTCTAATTACACATTGCTACCTAGTCAACCGTTATCCGAGATTTGTTTTCATGATTGCCGAATGTAAATAGTTTTATTTCTAAAAACAGTTTAGCCTATAACGCTAGTATAATGCTAGTATATAGGGCATAGAGTAATGACAAATAAAAATCGCTTGTTATTACCACTAAAAAGGCTCAAAATAGCCCCACACCAACGCGACAGCATAACAAGAGTCCCTACATTCAAACCGAAGCATTGAGAACTTTGTTAGTGTCCAAACAGTTTAATAAGAAGATATTTTATACACACAGTCAACTTCGCGAATACAGGAAGAAGCCATCTTGGAAAAATAGTCTCGACCAGTCGATCTACGAACGCCGATCCAAGTGCGGTGGTGAGATGTGAATAAGGTGATAATGTGAGCGCGAACAGTAGGCTACGTGTACATATTGAAGACAAGTAAACGGTTTGTGTTTGTGTTTCTTCTGGAAACAACGGACCATATGAGATTCTGCACAGTTCAGCGCACTTGGATCGGCGCTCGTAGATCGACTGGTCGAGACTATTTTTCAAAGATGGCTTCTTCCTGTATTCGCGAAGTTGACTGTGTGTATAAAATATCTTCTTATTAAACTGTTTGGACACTAACAAAGTTCTCAATGCTTCGGTTTGAATGTAGGGACTCTTGTTATGCTGTCGCGTTGGTGTGGGGCTATTTTGAGCCTTTTTAGTGGTAATAACAAGCGATTTTTATTTGTCATTACTCTATGCCCTATATACTAGCATTATACTAGCGTTATAGGCTAAACTGTTTTTAGAAATAAAACTATTTACATTCGGCAATCATGAAAACAAATCTCGGATAACGGTTGACTAGGTAGCAATGTGTAATTAGACCAAAGGTTCATTTTGCGCCGGAGTTGTCCTTTAAGGCTAAATTCCTTCAGCTTGTTTAATAATTCCTTTACCGGGTTAGCTGCGCTCTCTTGTTGCAGTTATTTCAGACAATAAAAGGAATTTTATGCATTTCTATCCTACCAATTAAGCAGTTTGATAAGACGTTTTATTTAATGCACAAGGAATTTTGTTCTCTGATGATGACTATGCAACAAAAAAGTTCAAGCGAGGCCTTGTCTTGCTACAGCTTTAAGAGCTGTGGTGAAGGGGAAGATTATTTCGCTGTTATTCACATATAACTATCATTTAACTTCATAAGAGCTAGGTAGTTTTGGAGCTTTCCAAGGCTCCATCCACACTACTGCGTTTTCGTTTAAAAACGGAGACCTTTTGCTACGTTTGCACCTCCCGTCCAGACTAAAACAGAAAAAACGAAAACCTAAAACGGAGAAGTTTACAAATTCTGCAGCTCCGTTTTGCGTTTTGAATCTCCGGAAGGCGTTTTAGTGAAGACGGGACAAAACAGAGGACTGTAGAAATGCTGATGCAGAGACTCACGCTCGGCTCTATGACGTGTCCTTCGTCAGCGACCGTTTACACCGACACGCACATGCCCAGTGTTGGTGAATGGTCAGGTGATCCGCGTTTTCAGTCGTTTTACTGTGGACGGAGATCAATTCTAATACGCAAATAAAACACTAGTGTGGACGGAGATCGTATTCGTTTTAATTCTCCGTTTTTAAACGAAAACGCAGTAGTGTGAATGGGGCCTAACATAAAGTATACTGGTATACAGGACTCTGCAATATATCTTTTTTTTTTGTGGTCACATGGGTTTGAAAAGACATGTAAATAGTTATTGATGACAGACTTTTTATCATTTTTAAATGTAAAGGTTATCCGTTTATCGCTGTAACATAGTGTGTGTGTGATTCTGATTACCTGGGAGTTGGCCAACTCTTGTGTCAGCTCCTGTATTTTCTTCTGTTGCTGGACCAGCAGCTCCTGCACTGAAGCCAGGGTCGTCTGCAACTGGGTGACTGCATTCAAAAACACAAAAATGAAGGTAAGTCTACACCCAAAACATTTACCAGAACCTCACATGCAAGAAACCGACAACCTTAGTCGAGAACCAGTGCAAACTGACATATCAGTTTGTTTGAAAGCATTACCGACGATAAACACACAGTGGTTTTCTCTTTGATTTAGCCTTCAGCTCAATCAGTAATATAAGACACCTCTATTTGTACAAGATTAATCACCTACGTCTGCTCTTATATCAAATCAGGGTCTCTTAACCTCCATTAGCATGGGTTTGAAACGCTGGCTCTATCAAACTCTCCAAACAATCAACAAGATGGAAAAAAAAGCTGCTCATTTGGGAGGCAGCAGGGCTAGACACTACTGTCCTCACTAATCTTACTAAATACAGCTCATTTTCCTCCCTCTCTGAAGATTGAATTATTGTCAGATTGTGCTGGTCCCGAGGATTAGAGAAAGCCCAAGAAAAACAGCCCTAGCAGGGCCAGAGTTGGTGTTATTAATGGGGGTATCATTTCAAATAACCCAGAGCACAAGTTGCTCTCCCCCTGTTTCCAGTCACACATGCATTCCCAAACAATGCATTAAGTTTCCAAACTGATTATGTTACAGAAAACCAATAAACGCCTCTATAAATCATGCTCTGTAAAGTGTTAAATCAACTCTAATTGGATTAACATCAGCAGATATTATTAGCTGCCGACTGTTGGCTCTCCGGCGCACAGTTCCAGGGCTCTCCTTTCATAGAAACAGCCTTTCCACTTTCTGCTTAAGAGCTGTTACATGTTTCTTTCTCCCATAGCCTTTGTCTGTCTCATTAGGTGACTACTTACACATTAAGAGATGCTGAACAGTTTTTCTTGCTGAATAACAATGATTGTACTAACTCAGATGACTAAATTAGTATTAACAAGAGATCTGAAATCCAATTTATGAACCTGTCTTCAAAAACATATATTTAAATTTTAATTTACTCAACCTAATGTTGCTCCAAACTAGTTTTCTGTGGATCACAAAATGAGATATTTTGCAGAATGCACATACAAACCTGGTTGCTTTGTCCAGATGGCACAAATTTTGAATGCGTGTGAATAATTTGAAAGCAATGAGGGGATCAATAACTTAACTTAAATGTCAGTCCCCAACAAAAACCAATCAAATGGCTACAGTACAGATGAATTCATACATCAGTAAACCATATGGGATTTAGAACTTATACATGATGGCTAAAAAAATATTCTTGTGTGAGAAGATATACATAGATTTGGGTTTATATGTGATCATGGACTCGTTGAATATCATATTTACTGAAAGTCACCCTTACGATTTCAAATATTCCTAAGAAGCACATGGTTAGAAGTTACTGTACATTAAGCCATGGTACTCAAGTGGGACATGCTGATTTGAATACAGCTCGCAACCTTCTTTTAATCCTTTTCTACCCATGAATTCCAGTAATCTTCGTACTATCCTTTGAATAAAATAGCTAGAAGCTCTAAAGTAAAAATCTGTTCCAAGCAGGAATGCCACTACATCCTAAGTCAACCCCAGCAATCCCTACAATATTACACTGAGAATAAGCAGCAACTGCACTAGACCTCTAAACCCACCAAACACTCGTTTCATACTCAAAACAGAAGGAATAATGCCTCCATTTAGCGTGGCTCGGGTTTCCACAAACGTTCTCTTTGGAGAAAACAATTGGGCGAATTTGAGATCCTGCAAGTGGCTCCGCAGCTGCTACAAGGAGGCAGACAGTGTGTACAGCGTAAATTATTCAGTAAATACCTCAATATAATGTACACTGCATATGTCCAGGCCTGTCTGAGGCTTTATTGGCCAGCTGGTCACCAATATGCTAACCGCAGACAAAGAGACCAAGCAGCTAGTACAATTCCATTACAGCCAGCACGAGGGTGAGTGTGTACGACAAAGTGCTTCCAAGACCTGTTCTTTAATTGCGTGTGGAAAGCTGTTGGGAAATCATAATGGGAGTCAAGGCTTACAATCAAAGGGTGCAAGAGTAATGGAGCCATATTCAAAGGAATACATCACTCTGCCGCACTTGGCACTAGAGAAATACACAAACTTTAACAAAGGAGTGCGGGCAATTGGCAAGAGCGGCAGTCACTTGCTATTACTCACGTTGTGAGAAGTGGGGGAAACTCACTCTGTAATTGCAACCCTCTCCCAAACTGTTAACTGAAACAGTCATTAACTACAATAGCAACTTGGCTACTGCAGCCACAGCAAATTAGATCAGCGGCGTGACTGACTGAGTGACTGGGGGTAGGTACGGCTCTTCCAGGAGAGTTGCAGAGGGAGAGAGAGATGGTCAGGAACAAGTGTTTCACAAAGGAAATATGAAAAGCAGCTTCAGCCCGGAGTAATATAAATACTCTTATCATCTGAATGTGACGCTAAACAAAACAGGAATCCTGTTAAAACCAAACAAAACGAGGGCTAGACAGCCAGCGTAATACAAAGGAGGCTTTTTTTGCATATATGAACCAAAATGGCAATGAAGAGGCTCATTTGATAATCAGATAAAGAAACCCACATCAAGCTTGCACGCAATGGCTCACAATCGACTGGCCTTTTGGTAACCCTCCCCGAACTAAAAAGCTAGGCAACTGAAAACATAATGCAGTGACGGAACCGACCAAAATCACTCGCCCTTTATCCCATATGCCCCAAATTTGCTTATATTGATCTCCTGGATAATGAAAACAAAACTTTATGCATAACAGAAGGCTACATTGAGATCAGAAGTATTTACATGGTTTTATAATGCAAATATTAATATTATAATATTAGTTAATGGCAAGCATACTTTGGAAAAGTATTTTATAATCAACAATAAGTCTGTTGTCTATTATAAGTCAAGAGTGGCCGCTTTGCATGTACTGTTTCACATTCACAGACTGTTACATATCTACAATTTAAAAAAATGCAAATGTTTTCATGGTATTTTGGGAAGACTGGGAAGAACAATATGTCCTAGCAGAAATCTTACACGCAAAATTACACGCAATTCCAACTGAAAGCCGACAACTGAAAATAAAATACGTAATTATATGTAAAAAAAATATGTAAAATACGGAATAATATGTACTGTATTTTACTGTGACGCTGAACAGTGGTGCAGGAAACACTTATTTGTAGAACTAAATAAAGTTTGTTTTTAGGATGTGTGAAACCTTCAGTTAAAGAGCTTTTTTAAAAAGAAGAAAAAAGAAAAAAAGGAAAGCCTGGTGAATATTCAAATGGCAAAATTACCTTTGTACTAATCTAATGCTCACCTAAGGTTAATCTTCAAAAACACTACTAATTTAATGTACATTTTACATACTGTACGCCATAAACAAATTAACTTGAAGCATATACAAAGTTAATTACTTCACACAAAATAATAAATTATTTTAATATCGGATATGTATCAGTTATCAAGAATGATGGGTTCCTCAGTATCAGCCAGAATGTAATTTTCCAGAGCATACCTATTTTTAATGGTTAAACATATGCAAGGAAGACAAGATCATACATCAAATATGCAAATAGATGTAGGACCAGTTGCAATTCAGCATGCAAATAATGCAATTGCATCACTGTCTGTTAGATTACGAATATTCTATATTCACTCACTGTAAATCACTTCTAATCTTTAATCTTAAATTTAACTTTAAAACTTTACCGAACGCAAATAGATTTGAACAGAAATACAAAAAAGGCAGAGGTGTAAAAATCCAAACCAGAATGCAAAAACTGCATAAGTTGTCCTGCCTCTCTTTAGAATTTTTTTTTTTTGCAAGAGTGAATTGTCGTTTACAGAGAAGGAGCACGCAGCTGTAAGTCGACTGAGGCACTAACGAGACAAAGTTTCTTCGGGAAGTGTCCCGCTTTCATGGTTGCCGGGATGTTTAATTACACCGGCTGCGTAGTGGGTAAAGAGAGGGGGAGGAGAAAGGAGGAGAGGCATCCCTCTCTGACAGCCTAGCTGAGATTCCTCACCTGTCCAAGGCGGGAGACGCACCTGTCAGCGCACACTTAATCACCAGCGCACTCCGGGCCCAACCGGGGAGCCACACCACCACGCCGAAAATTAAAATGAACTTTCTTGCCACGCAGTTAAGAAGGCAAAAAAAAAGAAAAGAAATGCTGTCATTCCTCTTCCCCTCATTAATATTCTGAGGTTAAGAGCTTTTCAGCGAAACGTAATTAATTGAAGCTGAGCTGACAGTAAACAAGCAATTTCAAATTAAAGCAAAATGACAGGACCGTCATTTGTAAAATGTGAGCAGATTTTGGCGACAGATAAATGAAGGAAAATGTTAAGGAGGAAAAAGTGATGAAGATATTAATCTTCACCTGTCTGTGTCAGCGTGCCACTCATATCCGCGATGTTGCTCTCGATCCGCTGCAGATGCTTCTTGTCCTCTTTGCTGCCCATAATGAGGGGAAGGATGTATTTCTGCAATTAAAAACAGGGCACGCTATTAGAATTCCACTCAGGAACAGGGAAAACAGGCCTGCGGACCAGGACATGCTTGGTTGCTAACTCAACAAATAGACAAAGGGCTAATCTATTAGCGTTAGCATAGTCAAACCAAAACGTAACCCTCACTGAAAATAGCTCTATAAGCTTTTCTATCAAAATATTGTGAAATATTATTACAATTTAAAAGAAACATTTGGTATTTTAATATATTTTTAAAATGCAATTTATTCCTGAGATGGCAAAGCTGATTTTGTTAATGTAAAAAAATAATATTTATTTCAAGTAGATTATACATGTCTTACAGTGATTTTATTTGATCAGTTGAATGGATCCACATTATAGTGACCGCCAACTTTAATATAGTCAATATATTTTTCTGGCACAATAGCAAAGAGCGATCGATTGAACGATCACAATTAGGTGACAATCTCTTCTTGAGCAAATAAATTTACATAAAACACAACTACAAATTTTTGAAATACTAGAATGCACTGTAATGTATATCACAGAAAAGTTGAAAATGATGAAAAGCAGCCTTATACTAATATAAACATTGCCCTAAAAAGAAGGCCTAAAACAAAGAGCAGAGGACCAAATGGTTAAATCTGTTTTTTTTTTTACTGAATGAAGTAATTACGAAGCTATATTTAATAGCGGGTAGATAAAGACTATGCTTTACTATGTTCTACTATATGTTCTATCTAGTACATCAGCACAATATCAAACAAACAGAAATAAAAGAAATGAGGGGAAAAAAAATCAATACAAGTGTTTGTGGTTGATTTCACAGTATCAGGTTCAGTATTGTGTTTGGCAATGGCAGATAAAACATCATTAATATGAATTATGATTAATAGGCCTGCATTCATGCTGAAAAAAAAAAAAACAGGACCTTTTGTTTTTTTAATCCCTCTCAAAAGTCTTGCGGTTTTCTCACTTCATCCAGAGTAATTTGCCTCAATGGCTGACACTGAGGCCAAGAATTAAGCATCGGGGCATGACTCTGGGTTCAACATCATTAAGTCTTTTAGCCCACAGGCTGGCTTCTCCATTTGAACATGTCACCTTCTGAGGACAATTGCTTGTCAGAGTTTAAGCCTTGTAGAACAACATCTCCAAACACTGAGAATAAGAAGCAAAGGTCAGACGGCTGGCGCTTCCACAAGCTGCCGCCCGATTCTCACGCCATTGCAGTTATATTTACAAAAGCGCAAGTCGATTTGTTTACCTCGACAAATAAACAGCACATAGACGGGGAGATTAAAATGGCATTTGGTGAATAGCTGGGTGCTGTAAAGTGTAATGTGCGTGTGCAGACTCTCCGTCTGGAAAACAGTTGGCCTTAACAGGTTTTCACAGCGGCGCAATCGTTGTTGACACCAGCACAAGTAATAAACACTTTTAAGTTGAAAAAAATCAGAATGAGTGTTAACACCAGGGTAGTTAATAAGAGAGCTGCTGTGAGCGCTGTTTACAATGTGCTCTATAGCATAAATAAAGTGAAGGTGGAGGACAGGGCATATGGTGGCATCGGTGAGCTGTTCCTCTGACATGACAGCAGTGAGAGCTCTCACACCAGGGAACCGCACCTCCGGCCACAGGCACAGATCCTCTCAACAGCAGAGACCCACACGGGGGACTGGAGAATCACAAACTCTGTGTGTGTATGTGTGTGAGACAGAGCATGAGACAGAACGAAAATGAGAAAGGAGTGAAAAAGAGAGTTACAAAGAACAGAAATGCATTTTTTTTTGCATTTTCTGAAAAAAATTATGAGTGGTGCTTGTCAGTGCAAAAAGTCCCTTTTTAACAATGCTGTGATCGGTTGCTATTGCATCACTACATGGTTGCTAAAGCGTTTATTTTATTTTTTTTTTTTCCTATAAAATCTCTAGGTCCAAGTATTGTCATCTCTAATCATGTCTGGTTTTTTTTTTGTTATTTTGCACATTTTATTGTCTGCCAGGTAAATATCATAAATCCAATCTTTTTATGAATTTGCTCATGGTTTATGGGCAATACACTTTTCAGGAGTTTGGAGTTGGTAAGATTTTTTTTTTTTTGATGAAAGAAAGAAATTTCTTATGTTCACCCAGATTGCATTTATTTGATCAAAAATACAGTAAAACACTAATATTGTTAAATATTACTACAATTAAAAATAAAAAGTGTTTTCTATTTTAGTTTATTTTAATTAAATTTTAATTAATAAAATTTTAATTTATTCCAGTGATTGCAAAGCCCGACTTTTCAGAATTACGGTCTTCAGTAGGGCTGCAACAAACGATTATTTTGATCATTATTATTTGATTATTTGAGTTTATTCACGATTATAAATGAACTAGCAAGCTTGCGATTGTCTATCAAATTCTGATATTGGACTGAATATGGATTCATTAAGATATCAGATAGGTACAGTTTTATTGAACTTGTTCATCGTACATGTTCATTCTCAAGGGGAAAAAAATAATGCTGTATACGGGGAACCCAGTTGCATTTAATGCAGTTTTTTGCTGAAATAATAACTTTAATAAGAGGAAAATATGAATAAAGTACTATGAATATAGTATTTTTCGAACCAACTATCGAGTTCATGGTTACTGAATGCCTTTTCTGAGGTAAAAATTTTAAATTATGGGACATTGTTTACAAGCTGTCTTATTGACATCTTTCCGCAGTTGAAACAGATTAAGCGATTACATGAGTCTTGATAGGGATATTGATAAGTGAGAATCGTTTCTGTCATTTTGTTCATTCCCTGATGTTCATTCACATTTATTTGGTGCTATAACTATAATAATAATAGTGACAATGAAAACGCAATAGAAACAGTAATGACGTCCTGAGTAAGCACCAGAAATGGGAATGACTAAAAATGATAGTTGATAAAAACGAGAGTTGATGTCACATTCTCAAAAGATCAGTTTTAGTATTGAACAAGCTACAGTTTCAGACTGTAAAACACTCATGTAAAAGGAAAATGTGACTTTTTCTGTAAAATGACACAGGTTTGGCCCACAACATTAATAACAGCAGTCATGTGGGCTACTGGAGATGGAGACTGGCTTCATAAACCCGCATGTGCTGAGAGCAGCAGAGGAACTGACTGACTGAAGTGGCTGAGTGCAGACGGAAGCTTAGGAAGCTAAACATGAGTTCCTAATCATGACATCATGGGAGATCGATTTGATGTCATTGGAAATGCTCTCTTAAAGTCCATTGCTCTATTTTCGTTTTCTTATAAAACACAGTAATGGAGTCCAAATGCCTCTGTGGGTAGTGTGGGTTTACCAAGAAACGGGGTCTCTCTTTTACTCAACGGGGCCAGAGGGCCCACGCATCCATCTGTGCCCACGTACAAAATCGTGTGGAGATAGTATTGGAAAGTGGCACTGCCGCCGGGTTTTTCCAAAAGGGAAAGCAAAGAAAAGATCTAAGGGTTGAAATGAGCTCATTCTGATGACGTTGGAGAGATTCACTGTAACCACAATGATTTACTCAATGTACTGTAAATGTACTCACACAAAAACAGAAATGCTGGGAAAAGCTTTAGTTCTCAGAAAAATCTATACATTTATTTATTTTTTGCTATTGGTGACTCTTACACATACCCGGTAGAGATGATAGAAGCCAAATGCCATTCCTGCCATGATGACAGCCATGGCACTGTAGTCTCTCCATCTGTAACCTGGACCTGCAGGGACACACACACAAATACAACAAGCTCATCTATTAGCCAAACCCTGGGAAAAGCTGTGGTGAACCTTCTGGTATGCCATATTTAATTTGACATGAAAGAAGCAAAGCTGTGAAGTATAGAAAAATACAGTGTATTCAATGACTTCAAATCTTATTTGTAAAATCATTCCTGTGAATGTTTTTGTTAGTTTTTTTTGCACTGGTTACTCAGACTATATCTGTGAATCAGTATAAAATATCCATTTTATAATGATAATAATAATATTATAAATTATATAGTAATAATTCAATTAAAAGATTTTCACAGAACACCCCTCATATTTTTTTATATACTAAAAAGCTTTAGTAAAAGTACATGTAGGTAAACACTGCTGTTTATTGTTATATTGGTGTATTACTCATTTGTTATATTGGTGTATTATTCAAACTTTACTGATGCAACTTCAAAATGATGGTTAAAAAAAATTATGAATCATACAGCAAAAAATATATATGTTTTTAGAATATTTATATTAAATGTTTTAATTAAAATGTTACATTTTTACATTAAATATATTCTATAACAAATCTCCACAAAAAAAAAAAAAAAATAGAAACTGCTGACTGTACTTCTACCCCTTACAGGTTTAACATTCACGTCAAACTACTGTACAAAAGGTGTCAACAATGGACTGAGGTTTATAGTTTATACAGATCTAAATGAATTGGAGCTCTTGTTCCTAGAAGGAAGGAAGGGGGGGAGGGAGGGATTCTGATTACACGTGGTTGTAGAAGCGTAAACTAGATCTGAACTTCCAGATTAAGTACCACATTACTGTAAAACAGAAAATGAGCAATTTCATAAGCTATGACTGAGCTTAACGGAAACTCCCGCTTGCAATATTTGAGAGGAACAATCACTCTGTTAAGGGTAATTGTGATCTTGAAGCAATGGAAATGAGAATCGTTTAAAAGATCACTCGCACGGTTTCTGCTGAGACCTCACACAAGTGCTCAAGATGAGGTGTGAATGTCACATAAGCGCAGTATTATCAGGGACTATCAGGAAATGAAAGTCCCTCCTCACCCCTCACCTTCATTCTCTGAGAGAGACAGTTGACCTCACAGAAGGAAAAACTCAGAAAAAACTGTTCTGTGCAGATTCAAAACAAAGAACATGCTCTGAAAATGGTCTTTTAAAGTGAGATCAGACAGATATCCTGCTAACAGCTGTAAGATTGAAGTCATTTATATAAGTCAACATTCTGATGACAAACCATTAGAGAAAAATTCAAGAGTCATTAGTTGGGCAAAAACATAGCCCCACCCCAAACTCACATCATTGGTTGAGCTAATGCTGCTGGTGTCGTGCCCGTCAAACAAACGAGCGAAGTTTAAAAGCGTCTTTTCAGAGAATCAACTAACCAATGGCTTACATATAGCTGGCATATTATTGTTGGATAGGAGAGAGTGTTGTAACAAAAAATGACATAAAATGAAACTTCAGGTTTACGTTATGTTTTAACCAGCTTGTGAAAGCAAGAGCAGCAGTTTCAATTCACGCTGAGGCAATCTGGCTACAGAAAGGAGGGAGAAATTATCATGCAAATGTTTAACGGCACACCAAACAGAGAAGTAATTAAAGCAAGCCTGGCTCTGGCAGGTCAACATGTCAGATACAAAATGCTCCATTTTGTAACATAGCGAGGTCTGCGAAACAGGTGTGTTACTGTAATTTGTTTGAATCTGCTCTACTGAATACAAATAGACAGGCTCGCTAATAGACTAGCAAAGGATACTACTTTTTCATTTTTAAACAGCCAGTTTTTATCTGATTAATTATATGAGAGGTCGTTAGGGATACCATAAATAAAAGCAATATGTCCTACGATAAAACATGTCCTACAATTTTACTTGACATTAGTTTTTAAAATATGAGATTTTACACTAGATCACTAGATTGTTCTTAACACAGATGTAGCTTATTTTTTTTTTCTTTGAATTAAAATGGTATCACTTACTACACCTAAAACAATGACCATATTAAAATATGTGTATAACATGAAATGCATACATATGTCCTTAAATCATGTATATGTATTTACACTCACCTAAAGGATAATTAGGAGCACCATACTAATACTGTGTTTGACCCCCTTTTTGCCTTCAGAACTGCATTAATTCTACAAGGTGCTGAAAGCATTCTTTAGAAATGTTGGCCCATGTTGATAGGATAGCATCTTGCAGTTGATTTCACATCCAGGGCACGAAGGTCCCGTTCCATCACATCCCAAAGACACTCTACTGGGTTGAGATCTGGTGACTGTGGGGGCCATTTTAGTACAGTGAACTCATTGTCATGTTCAAGAAATCAATTTGGAATGATTCAAGATTTGTGACATGGTGCATTATCCTGCTGGAAGTAGCCATTAGATAATGGATACATGGTGGCCATAAAGGGATGGACATGGTCAGAAATAATGCTCAGGTAGGCCTTGTCATTTAAACGATGCCCAATTGGCACTAAGCGACCTAAAGTGTGCCAAGAAAACATTCCCCACACCATTACACCACCACCAGCCTGCACAGTGGTAACAAGGCATGATGGATCCATGTTCTCATTCTGTTTACGCCAAATTCTGACTCTACCATCTGACTGTCTCAACAGATATCGAGACTCATCAGACCAGGCAACATTTTCCCAGTCTTCAACTGTCCAATAAGAGAGAGCTCTATAAATTATGTACATATTTCATATATTATCATTTAAAGGGTTAGTTGACCTAAAAAATTATGTCATTATTTTCTCACCCTCATATCTTTCCAAACCCATAAGTTCCCATAAACCGTTGGTGAAAGCCTCATGTTTAAAAGATTGCTTTTGGCTCTTAACTTTTCTGCACTTTTGAAACCTCTCTTCTCCCAATACTCCCAATAGAAACAGTGCCTTGAGGATCAAAGCTGCCTGAAGACTGAAGCTCAGTGACACTCTACGTCTGCAAGCACATCAAAACATCAGCAAACCTGCAACTTAAAGAAGGACTTCTGTCAACATCACTTTTTGTATCAATGGTAAACACCACATTAACTAAGTGTCCTTGCGAGAGCATGGCGTGCAGGAAACACATGATGACAGTTTGGGTAAGGCCTTGAGCTTAGACCCTGACCGGTCTGACCGATCTCCTACTTCAACTCGAGATCCACACAGGACTCCTTCTTCCACATTGGTAGCACCTCCACTTCCACTCCTGCTTTTTATTTGGTCACTTAAGGTGTGAGCATGGCCTCCATTCCCCTTTTTTCCAATCTCCGTTCAAATTTATTGGGTTCAGAAAAGGCCCTACTGTCCTTCTGCCGCTTGAAAATAGAGATCAGAGTATCCATTACTCCGACAGAGATGGATGCAGGCCCAGCGCATCGTCCCCATAACAAGGACATCAAAGAGAGGGACCCCCTCTTTCCAACCTGACCCCCGCAAAGATCTCCTCACTCTCCCCTCATTATGCCATTCTCTCATAGCCGTTTTGATATAAAACCCCCCACTCTAGTGGGGCCGATGCCTAACTACATGGCTATCCCATCAACATCGCTTTCATTACAAAACATGAGATGGCGGGGAGTCAAGGACAGGGTGGCAATAAATGAGGGTGGAATACATCTGGAATCATTGTCATACAGGTTAAGCATTATGCGAACTTCATTCAGGATTGGTAAATCAGCGGCCGGCCTGGAGCTCATAACCTGCAGAGGTAATAAAGATAGAGGCTGCAGAAAGGCCCTTGGCAGGCCAACCAACCACAGATTCTCGTAACGGTGCGGACATCATATCGCAAGGCCGTGTCGGAATTAATTATGTGCCTACGCAAAATTGATGCCGTTCGCCACTCATTTCCTTTGAAAACGACTTGCTTAAGATAACAGTTATGTTTGGGCACTAATACAAATATCTGCACGATATTCAAAAGTATTTCCGCCGTCTGTTTTGAATTGATGTACAGGCGAAGGTTTAAATAGGATTATGGGAGCACAGAGGAGATGTCTTCGATGGGGGACTCATTTAATATAGTCATGCACCATTTGGTAGAGAAAATCTACTAGACTAGACGTGTCATGTTTAAGGAGCGCATGGGCCACGGAAAAACATACAGTGAGGGGACGGGTGGAGGGGTTATAGGGTAGACCACCTATCCTAGCAAAAGCGATTGTGGTTATACTCACTGTACGGGGCCAGTGGAACAGGGTGAGCGATGTGCATAGGTCCGGGAACAGCCACAGTCAGCGGCTCATCCACACTACCGGACTGCTGGATGGCTAGATCGACCTCCTCATCGGTCAGACCTGCACAGAAAAAAAAAAAAAAATCACCACTATAAATGATGCAGTTTTATATACAAGGTAATTGTGCATATATTTGTGGTCACATTCACAGACATTGTAAATAAATGATTTGGTATTTTTAGATAGTTTTCCTAATTTTTAGTAGTCTAGCTAGCTATCAATATTAGACTAATTGAAAACCAACAGATTTCTCCAAAATAAAACTTTTCTGCACTTTTGTAACCTCTCTTCTCCCAGTATTCAAGAATCAGTGCCTTGTCTGTCCGTCTGTTTAAAGACAAGCTGAAAATGCCTGGAAACTCCACGAAATGATGTGAACAACAGTGTAATGGGAGAGGAAAAGGTGGTGATATAAATGGAAGCGTGTCCTTGACTGTCCTTTGCAACCTGCAAATAAATCTAAACGTTTAAACTCTTGCTAAACTAGGTTAATAGCACCATAAGCGACAGATGTAGACCCGGATGAGCGGCTCTGGAGGTCCAAAGCTCTGAGCTCCACTCCATTAGAGTCAGATCTCAAGAACAGAGCCTGTCCATTTCCTGCCGCTATATTTCCCCAGGTAGAGCTCAGCGGAACCCCAGACAGATAAAATGCATTATTTTAATTTCTTCATTGTAATGTAAATGTATTACATAATTTTGCAAATGCCAATATAATTTAATCTTCAGATCTTTTTTAATGATTTTAGTGGTGATTAAATTGCATAGAGGTCTCTAATGGAAAATGACAGGAGAGGGGGAAAAAAATCTAATATTAATATTTCCTTTTGTGGAAAAAAAAGCTGGTTTATTTCCAACTCTGTATGCAGTCATTGGTCTGTGTCTTGTCTTGATTAAGCGTCTCGGTGCGGGCCTAAACAGAACGGTGATGGGGCAGACGGCAAACAAGAGACCAGAGAAACACTAGGAAAGGAAGGAGGCGGAAAAAGCCTGTTAGTCGAATGAACTTGTGCGTTGACATTTAATGAAGACATAAAAGCGAGGAAAACATTATGGGCTTCCTCTACAATTGGCACATAAAACCCAAATGCTTTAACATCTCCATTTAGAGCCAATGGTTTAAAAAGGCTCCAGTTTCTATTAAACTGTAAGTTACACATATCAATTTAATAAATCTACTGAATCCTACAATACACACACACACTCCCTCTGACCTTTGTTTGTCCACAGTAGACTGGAGTGTGTCACGTCTGTCATTGTGTATTTAGTCACTCTCTCGCACTCTCTTGCTCTGTTTACTGGAGATATCCCCTTGGGCATTGCGCTACTCTATTCCACATGCTTTCATACGGCACGGCTGCCTGCCAGAGAGCCAAAAGGCTGAGCTTTGCTCCAAATTGAGCTGTTTAAAGAGCAGACAGCAAGCTGTTTTTGCGCTGTAATACACACATCATAAATGTGGCAAATGCCAGTGCCACATGTGCTTAAATAGAGCGGGGAGAACTGAGAGCTTGGCAGAGAACAGAGTCTGAGCCTGTTCAGCCCTGTCTGCTGTCTGCTGGGTATGAAATCACAGTCACACTTCATAGAGCCACACTAACACTGCAAAACAATACAAGAGCGCAGCGGAGGTAGGGATGCATAGTTAATCAGTTTTATCGCTGCGTTTCATGCTTTTCCAGTAAAAGTTTCAATTTATGACTGTGGGAGAGTTTAATTATAGGAATATGGGAATTTTACGTAAAAAAAAAAATAGCTTGTTGTCCGTAGGCATAACATGATCTATTACTACTGTTACTGTCCATAACAAAAATAATAAGTGCCTAAAGCCAAAAAGTGGCATTGAGTGGCTTTCATCATCCTCATAATCAAAACAAATCATTCCTCTTCTAAACTATATATGCCACTGTTAAAATGTTTTGAGTCAGTTCATTTTGTTTTAAAGAAATTAATACTTTTATACATCAAGGATGCATTAATATTTCTATTTCAAATAAATGTTGTTCTTTTGAACTTTGTTCATCAAATAACCCTAATAAAACTGTTTTCAACAAAGATAATAATATGACATGATTGAGCATCAAATCAGCATATTAGAATGATTTCTGGAGGATCATGTGACACTGAAGACTGGAGAAATAATAATCATCACAAGACTAAATTAAAAATAGAAAAACAGTTATTTTAAATTGAAATAATATTTAAATGTCACTGTAGTTTAAACTAACTACAGACTGTTATAGTTGTAAAACAAATGTAGGAAATTAACAGTGAACGTGCAGCCACGGTAAGCAATTATCTGTATTTTATAACCACTTCAGATGTGGCTCATCCAATCAGAATCCTAGTTATTAAACAGTTTATGGAGGTTTTTGAATGGCAGTTTCCACTTGAGATAGCAAAAGGACACAGCAGCAAAACGTTAACATCCAGAATTTATGACACATCTCTCTCTACATTTAACCATATTCTCCTTTACTGTCAAGAATGATATTAACAAAATTTACACCGCCGCCATTTTCAATGAAATGACCATGTAGCCAGTTTTGCCTCACTTGCGGAAAACTCTAGGTTGGGGTCAAAGTTAAAAGGAGGGCAGTTTCAGTGGAGGTTGAAATGGCCCTGAAAAAAATGTTGAATAATTTAAGGCAAATATTGGTCATCCTGTCTTTCATGGCATTCAAAGTGCCAGGAAGCAACCATGGCCATGTGCTGAGCTGGTGCAGCCAGCCTGTACTGTCCAATAAGCAATAATGTGTCCCTGGACTCCCTATTCATCTGACCACACCAGACTGCTTGGTGGCAGACTATTGAATGAGACTTGGAGGCCCCCCTCTCATTTCCTCTCACTCACCTCACCATAAAGGCACCATCAGGAAGTTCACGTTTTCGAGCAGGTCGTTTTCTAAGGACATAATGAACAAATATGTACATATTTGTAATGTCATTTGAATTCTTAAATAGCACCCACTGCGCAACTACAAAGTGGTCCGCCGTGCACCCGAATAAGATGCATGCAAATTCATTAACGCGTTTGCTTTTCTTTCGGGTTTTCGGACTGTTTTGTCTCCTCTGATGCCTTTAATACAAAGAAAACGGGACGACAAATGAAAGACCTTTGAGATCCAATTTAAAAGAAGGACAACAAGAGTGAGTGAGTTTTACATATAAAAGGAAAAAGGGCACAAAAAGGAAACAAAAAATTTATTACAGTTTCCAAAACCTGTGGAATGACCCCTTGGACCTCCATTTCAGATCGACCCGCCGGTAGATGAACATTTTTAAGGCATAAATTACATCTAATGACGACACCGTAAAAAAGAACAATAATGGAAAGCTATTCTGTATTTCATTATACTGTATTATTTGGTGCACCTGATACACGCAGAGCCTGTTTATGAGTCACCATATTAGCAGATGCTCAGTCGAAGCATTTGCTTTGACCTTGCCATTCTCATTGGGGCATGAAATTACGGTGGTGGCACCACGATATTACAGCTATAAATACTGTAAACTGCATATCTGGGCTACGTTTTCTATTGTCTTTCAACATAAACCTGATCGGTATTTATTTAAAGGAAAACCCATTGCTCTCTATATTATTTATGGCTCTATTTTCTGGGCTCTTATTTTCAGGATGTGTTTTTTTTTTCCCCCAGCCTTTTTTTTTTAAAGAGTGATGAGGCGACTCATCCAGCCATAAAGTGCAATTCTCCAATTTTGGCACTTGTGAACTTCATAGGGTATGAATACGCTCACAGGGACAATTATAAAAGTGCTTACTGAAAGGCTGTCAAAGGTGCTCTTTTTTCAGGAGACCAACAAGGCTTGGATGAAATCGCTTGGTGAATATTACTTCTTATTATAATAATAATACCAGATTGAACAACAAGAAAAATACTTAAGGTCGTAAAGATGGAGGTCACTGAGAGCGTTTCCGTGAGATTTCACATGTCAAGTCCATGTCCCACATGATTGCATGCCTTAAATAATGACCGCTCTCATAGCGTATTCATTTATGTATTAAAAAAAAAAAAGACGACTCTGGTCATTTTCCTGCTTTATCGCCTTCTCCTGATGACAAAGTGAAAAGCGTCTGGCCTAGGTGGCGCCGTGGAGTAATTTATAACCACATCAATCCCTTTGTCTTTTATGCAGGCCTTGGTCATTGCCATTCCTGTCCAAGAGGTGAGTCGCATCACCTTACTTGCAAACTCTTTCCTATTAATATCAGGGATGATGAACCATTTCTTTACCTTCATGGTGTGAGCGGTATTACACCTGCAGTGCACCAGTGTCCCTCATGGCCCTTTGAGCATAATGAAATGACTACAGGAAGAACACTAGCGAGGTCAGAGATCTGAGCACTGAGCCTTAGCGGCTTGTGTCTCACCCGGATGTCCACATACAGGTTTAAAGGAAGCCACTGAGTGAAGTTTGTGACAGGACAATATGGAAAATCCAAGCTGGGGGGAAAACAGTATTACATCCTTGATTACACAACGTGGAGACAGTAAATGAAGGACAGTAAATTCTGTACCGCTGCCAACTAGCAGTCATCTGAGAAATTCAGCCTGTAGTTTTTAAGATAACGACATATCAACGGGCACACTTCATTTTTAGTGATTTCCCCTGAGTGAGAACACAATTTAATGTCGTTCATAATTAAAATATCATTTATTACAAACAAAACTCTGTTGAGAATGTGTTTACACTTAACTAAATGTTGTCAAGTGCACAGAACATGTTTTTGTATTCTATTGCGCTGCTTTTCCATCGATTCTCAAAATTTTGATCGTGTTCACATCTCGCATTCTTTGCAACGTAGGACACGCCATTCTAAAACGCAGCGTTCGTGTTAAAAGAAGTTGAACTTATAAAAAACAAGTCACAAGACCTAGCAGTATTCCTCATTCCACGCCTCACATTTTCTGAGGCTATATAAGTTCTGTGTGAATGGCCCCAAAGAAATTTTCGTATTAAATTTTCGAAATTTGGATGGAAAAGTAATGACTTATGATACAGTAAATGAGTCATTAAACAGATTCAAAATGATGACA